GTTCAAAGGACGATACTGGTCACGTAACCCAAATGATGCAGTATGTTGAAACCTCGATATGGTTAGTTCTGCATTGATTGATGGTGCAACACATCAATGAATTATCCGTTTACCTTTCTGTTATATAAAGTTCGATATGGTTTCTGTCCCATAGTGACACATATAAATATATATACTAAACCAGAGACATTTAATACGAAAAATGCGACCATGTATGATGACGTCACAAAGAAAGAACATGAAACAATTGCAGGTAAATGAAAAAGAAAAGATGCAATATACGTAAAGTTTGTCTTCATGTTGTTTCAAAAAACATTAGAGAAACAGATTCCACCACTGTATACAATTTGAAAATATTGAAAACGCTTCGTCTTTTATAGAAAAAAATAAGTGTTTCGAGAGGAGAAATATATTTGGGTATTTTTCGGTGTTCGGTTAACATTTCTTGATAAAACTTCATCAGAGCAAAACGTTAGGCGCAGTTAAAGGGATATACACATATAAAGCAGTATAACCGACTGTATTGGTATTGTACACGGTAATTTTCTATAACTGTTTATAACGGAGTATTTACAATAAATCCATTGGATGTGTACAGATTGGTATTTTAGTCTTGGGAGCATCTTAATTCATTAGTTGTAATGGGCTGTGTATTTGCTTTCATTAACTGCGATTACTCATAGATTGGTACTTTGTGTCTTGTCTTCTTGTTAGTTATTTTTGTGTTTTATGTCGATTGAAAACATTAGTCGAGCCTTCTTCAACTGACTTCACAGTTTGTTCTTATGCTGTGCTTTTACATTTTACACCACTGTCTCAGGTTAGGGGAGGATTGAGTGCTCGCAAACATATTTAATCCCACCACATTCTGCATGTGACTGTCGCACGTCAGGAGTAAGTACATCAATTGTTATTGTTGGATGCTGTCTGTCATACTTTGTTTTTCATTTAATGTTTTTGTACATAAATTAGGCCGTTGATTTTCTCGTTTGAAGAGTTTTACATTTTATCATGTTGGGGCCTTTTATAACTTACTATCACTGGCACTTGTCTCTGAAAAAAAAAATTATATTAAGGTATAATATAGGATTTATTTTTTTTCAGAGACAAGTGCCTGTGCTTACTGTACCATGTATACGGTATAGGTTTTGTTCATTGTTGAAGGGTGAACGGTGAGCTCTAGGTGCTTAGATCTACGTCAATAGGTATCTAGTGGATAGTTGTCTCATTGGCAATGATACATCATCTTATTCTTATAATGTATGACAACTGTTTATATATTGTTCCATATATAATGAAATTGGATACACTGTACCAAGGTAAATAATTGCCCAATTGGTCTAATATTTACAGAGTGTTATTTTCTTATCAAAACCATTGATTTAAGGCAAATACGCGAATTTTGTTTTGCAATTTTTGTTATTTAAAAAATCGTATTTTCACCCAAAAATTCAAAAATCGATATTAGACCTTAATACTTTAAACGTAAACATGGTCTGTTTAAAATTTTGAATGCCTTTGCAGATATTTGAATACTTTATTCTCATTTTCGAAAATAAGTGCCGACTTTTGTCATCATTTTCCGCAAAATAGATTTGACCCCTGTGTTCAATAACACGGTATTTTCTCACTTTCCAATTTGGTCAGATTCTTTTAATCATATGCATTTGCTTTGCAAATGAATGCTTTTCATTGGATAATTTAAATTGGAGTTTAAACTTGTGTATCGTTACCTTTGTTGACTAGTATATATATATTTATTTTAGAGCCTAGGTGGTCGAGTGGTCTAGCGCGTCGGGCATAGTGCAAGGCGATTTGGTGCCACGATATCTTAGTAGCATGAGTTCGACTCCCGGCCAGGGAAGAACAAAAAATTTGCTTCCGCAAATTTACGGATCTAACATTGTTGGGCTGATGTTTAGACGAAATATATATATATGTCTATATATTTCATTAATTGACCTATTTCTGTCTTTCCTGATTTTAATGTGTTGTTGTATTGCTGCCTTACGTTCGATTTACCATTCGGGTTCCTGTAAAGCTTCAAGTTGCAATCAGCGAGTTAAATTGAAACCTTTAAAGGAAGATTTAAGATGAAAAATACATGTTGTGTGTAAATCAGATTACATAAACTGCATTGATATAGGAGTAATGTACTAGTATTGACACTTGGAAACTCAACATATACCCCCACGACACTTACTAAAGAGGAAATCCTGTATAAGCATTATATGTTCTATGTTTCTTTGGACTTTCAACCAAGGAAGAAGAACTGGACCTTCCTTCACTGTATTGGATACATAATTTACATAAGTGTCCTTACAAACAACGTTAAATTGCTGTGTCTTCCAAGTGCTTCACGAAACCTCTTTGTAAACTTTTAAAATCAACTTTATCAACAAGCAAAGCCGGGCTTCAGAGTTGTTATGAAACTGCCTACTCTAGGGGCGGTGTGAATCAAATGTGGATACTAAAATGAGGTGAAAGATTTGTTAGAGTGCATACAATCTAAGTCAATTTCCTCTTGCAATAGTATACACATTTGACTGGTCATCCCTTTACAAAAATATTCGTCATCTTAAACTTAAAGACAAATTGGTCCTACTTTGTTTCATCTTAAGGGAGGGATAGATTATATTTTGTAAAAAAAAATACTGATTCAAATAATAAATTCTCTGTACTGACATTATCAAGGATTTGATGTCTTGATTGACAACATATTTGTAACGTTTAGAGAACGCGTTTTTCAACAGACAATCGAAATTCCCATGGGAACGAACTGTGCTCCTCATGTTGCTGACTTGTTCCTTTATTCGTACTCACCGTCTGGAGAAGAATGGAAAGAAGCTAGGATTATTCTTTAGCTGCATGTTCCACTTTACAGATAATGTTCTCTTACTAAATAATTAAAAATTTGGTGAATATGTTGAACGCTTCCGATGCATACCCTCGAACTTGAAATAAAGGATACAACAGTTAAGTCTGCTTCATTTCTTGACTTACGTCTAGAAATTAACCATGAAGGTTGGTTGAGAACACAATTTTCGACAAAAGAGATGATTTCAGCTTCCAGAATCTGAACTTTCCATTTATATGTAGCGACAATTCAACAACGCCTGCAAATGGAGTATGGACTATATACCTCCCAGTCGATACCATATTCCAGTGCTTTCCTAAAAAAAAAATCTTGATAGAGGGTTGCTGCTTACAAGGAACCACAATAACGTCCTCTTTTTTCCTCAAATTTAACATCACAGAATAGATTTATCACCAAATGTGTACTAACATAACCAACACAACAAGTGCCACATGTGGAGCAGGATCTGCTTACCTTTCCGGAGCAACTAGGATTACCCGTCTTTTGTTGGGGTTATATTGCTCAGTCTTTAGTTTTCTATGTTGTGTTTTGTAGACTGTTGTTTGTCTATTGGTCGTTTTCTTTCTTTCTTTCTTTCTTCCTTTTTCTTTTTTTTTTTTTTTTTTTTTGCCATGGTGTTGCCAGTTTGTATTCGACTTATGACTTACGTAGATTGATATCTTCCGCCTCTCTCAGTGTAAATGAACGAGTGTCGAAGAGTTTGCTTTTGGTTTTGATAAAATCAAAAAGACGGAGTTAGATTATTATGTAATATGTTTAATGCATAGTATAATAATATTGAAAACAAAATTATACTTAGAAATATAAAAAAAATTGAGTAGTAATTAATTTTAGTAGGTTATGATAGTTTCGTTTGTATTTGTTATTCGTGTTGAGTTGGATTCGATGAAAATGATCGATTATAAAGACCTTTTTTCCATTTGTTTGAACACACTTTATAAACAGGGAATATTCATTGAGAATTGGGTTTGACATTATTTGCTAAGTCGAATTCACACCTAATATACAGAAAACCAGAGTACAGTTTTTAAATATTGAAAGCATCGATCGTTTTCAACGAATACGAATAAAAACGATTTACTATTAAAATTGCCTATTTTAACTTTCCCGAATTATATGTTTGCAATGACAGCGTTATTTCAGGTCTTGAAAATAAATCTTTGAAAACATATGATTTTTTCTTTTTATTGCTTTATATCTCATGGTCTCAGTCGAAAGGCAATGTTTTTCCTTGGACGCCTTTCTATTACCCCGCCGAAGAAAGGCGTTCAGCAACAATACAAAAACGTGCAAATTACCCGGTATTTGGACTACGTTCCCTTGAAGGGAAACCTGCACTATTCTCACAATCCGGTATCATGGGTATTGCATTACTAGTGATGCACTTAAATTATCATCATGTTTGACGTACGTACAACTTCTTTATTTACTCTAATGTGTGTTTCTCTACATCAGACACGAGAAAGGTTGTGAGAACTAAGAGCATCTCATAAAACAAATGGCAAAAAATAAAAATTGACTCCTTCCCGGCAAGTTTTTTTTTTTTTTTTTTTTGAAAGTTCGATGTGAATCTACTGAGATTTTTGTAGTGGAATAACCGACGTTTTCGAATTCCAATGAACTATAAAAAGTCCCCACAAATCATAATAATAACCTCGATACCTATGGCATATTATGGTATGACCGATTTCAAGTCATTGAAATGTGAAAAGTGTATAAGTGTTTACCATGTTAGCAGACATACGGACGCCGGACTGCAACTGTAATAGTTCCAGTTATAAATGAAAAAGCAAGAGCCAGCTACCCAGCAAATGTCCATGTACGTGACACGTACATTTAATAATGAAAAATTCAAATTTTAAAATAACTACGTGGTCATGTACCTTATCAATTTAAGTGTATTTATTTGTCCTATTTATTAACCCCGGCTACTAACTAAGCATATTGAACGATGTAATAGTTCCAGTTATAAATGAAAAAGCAAGAGCCAGCTACCCAGCAAATGTCCATGTACGTGACACGTACATTTAATAATGAAAAATTCAAATTTTAAAATAACTACGTGGTCATGTACCTTATCAATTTAAGTGTATTTATTTGTCCTATTTATTAACCCCGGCTACTAACTAAGGATATTGAACGATGACATCTCGTGCTACTATTTTTCTATCAAGGACAGTTCCACCTGTAGGAAGGACACTTTTGGAACCAGAATTTACTATCAGAGAATGGACGGGGGATGGATTCATTACGAGGGAGGCGTTACTCCAGGGTGTGGTTGGTGCAAACGCTTTAATTGTTCATCCACCAGACCGTGTAGATAAGTCAGTCTTAGATGCTGCTGGTAAGAAAATAAATCATACATTTAGATAAATAAAACTCCTTATTTTTTCAATAGCAATGGGGCAGGCCGGGGATAATAAAATACTGGTATAGCAAAGGGTCCCTTCATAACAATGGATTGGAAAACTTTTCCTCAGTTTGTCCCATATTTTGGACAGTCCTCTAGAGACGGGCAGTACAATAGCATTGTATGACAACTTAACAGTTTTATGTAAAATGCGTCTGTATGTCTGTTTGTGACATACCAAATTTTAAGTCTTGGGTTTTTACACGGGGGGGGGGGGGGGGGTCTCTTCCTATATGAAGGTATATACATATGTGCCGCTGGAATGGGTCCCTTTTTTGATACGTCAAATATATCAATGGGGTACAGTTTTACCGAGGAAATATATCAATAGGTAGTAATTGACCAATTGTGATATATCAATGGGTCATAATTTTTCAGTTTGTTGAGGGTGGTAAAAGGGGGGGGGGGTGCTTGCACGGAAAAAACGTGAAATAAGACATAATTTCACGTTGAACGTGAAATAATTTCTGTCATGAACGTTGCACGAAAAATAAATACTGTTGTGAACCTTTTGTGACCTTGAGTCACTGTCTTCTTGTATATATAAAGTTCTCTGTTTTACTTGTTATTCACGATTTAGTATACACATTTATGATGTAAATGGTTTACGGCTTTTAAAAAAGTATTTCTTGACGATCCCTGCCAAGTATTGATCAGTATTTGAATTTTATTTGAAAAATACCGAGCACGCAAAATAAGCATTTGAAAATCACGATGCACGTAAAATTAAATAAGCAGAACACGTTGAACGAGGCACCTGTCTTGCACGACTGAACGTCAAATAAAAAAGTAAAAACACATTGAACGTGAAATAAAAAACGGCGATCACGTTGCACGAAAATAACCCTTTACCACCCTCTTTGTTGTGCAACGATCTTCACTGAATTTCACAAACTCTTTTTTTTTGGCAGAACTTTTCGGAATTTTTGGTTTTCAATACTCTTCAACTTTGAATATGAGTTGGCCCTCAAACTGTTTTGATTCGAGCGCCATGGGTGAGTCTGATAAACCAGAGTACTAAAGTCGGAACAAGAAAATATTGCTGTTACAACAAACATGCGTGCCAAAGTTTACTGTCGGAAGAAGGAATTTTGCTGCTGCAACAAACAATCGTAGCAGAGTATTAATGTCGGAAGAAGGCATTTCGTTGTTGAAACAAACAGGAGTACCAGAGTACTACTATCGGAATAAGGGATTTCACTTTCGCAAAAAAACAGGACTGCCAGAGTACTACTATTGGAAGAAGGGATTTCACTGTCGCAAAAAAACAGGACTACCAGACTACTACTATTGGAATAAGGGATTTCACTGTCGCAAAAAAAAAAACAGGACTACCAGAGTACTACTATCGGAAGAAGGGATTTCACTGTCGCAAAAAACAGGACTGCCAGAGTACTACTATTAGACTGATAAGGGATTTTATTGTCGCAAAAACAGGACTACCAGACTACTACTATTGGAATAAAGGATTTCACTGTCGCAAAAAAACTGGACTACCAGAGTACTACTATCGGAAGAAGGGATTTCACTGTCGCAAAAAACAGGACTACCAGAGTACTCATTTCGGATATAGGAATTTTGTAGCAACAAACAGGAGAATTTGAGTACTACTGTTGGATTAGGAAATCCGTTTCATATTTAATTTTTGAGTCTCATTTAGCCAGGCATCTACTGGAAATGTCATTGATTTTTGTAAATGAACAACCGAAAGTTTCACCGTGCTTAAGATGTATCTTTTGTATTTTTAAAGTTATGGTGTATTTATTCTTGAGATAACTTCTCTTGTGTGTGCCACATCATTCTCTCAATTTTAGGCCAGTTTTTATACTGAAATTTTAATAAGACGCACAGCACCTATTCTTAGCGCTCATCTCTATGTTAATTTTTTTTTCAATTTCAAGCATTTATGGGGGGTCTATATATACCGTTATTTACGCAGACCGTACTGGTTACCGGAATTTTGGATGTATCAAATCAGGTACTTCATATCTGAGAAACAGTCAATAAATGGCCCCTTTCAGATTAATTTATACTTTTTTGTATTATTCAAAATTTTTAATCAAAAGGTGTTGTACAAGGATCACCAGTCCTTCACCTTTCATTTGATACCTAAATAACCAAAATATATTCTACATAGTTTGATATTTACACCAATGCGTAGGAACTATTTTGTTTTAGATATGTACTACTTTTCAGTATGTTTTTTTTTTTTTACCGGGCCCGATTTGGCGGTGTTACATCTTGCAAAGTCTGCCCGAATAATTGCAGTTTGCAAAGAATCCCGCTCAAACCTGTGCTAGGGGCCGTCTTAAACTTGCAGTGAGGTGAGAGTTTTTTTGCTCCTTGTTGATGGCCTCACTGTGAATTTGAGATAAAGAACAGCAATGAAAGCGCTGTTCCTTTGCTTTTTGTGTGTTTTTGCTGTGTGGCATGTCCTGATTTTGTGTCATGGATAAATACCCCATATCCTTTGTTTTCCTATTAACCTAGGCTTGTCTTTAACTGTTACCCTCAGCCTGTGACTTTGGGAATGATTCATTAGGGGACAAAACGGCCTCATTTATTTGCAAAGCAATAAACGAAAAATAATAATGATAAACAATTACCAATGACAATCACTGGTTTACAGGTTACTGACTCGGAGCAATCCATGCATACAGAATGTAGCTTGGTTAAACATATTTGTGAGCGCTCAACCCTTCTCTAACCTTAAACAGCCTCAGTGATGTAACAGCACAACATAAGAAACAAATGCAATGAGCAGTTAAAAATGGCTTGACTCATCAGATCTACACAAAGCAAAAAAAAAAACAATTAGCAAATAGACAAAAGATATAAAGTCCCGATGTAAGAGTACTCGAGGTTACTTTAGGCTATTACAAAACCAGTTACAACCAGGGGCGGATCCAGCCATTCATAAAAGGGGCGGGGACATATAGTTGGAACAACCCCCCCCCCCCCCTTTATCCTGGGTAACCTAGCCCAGGATAAAAGGGGGGGGGGTTCCAACTATATGTCCCCATTCAAATGCATTGATCGTCAAAAAAAAGTGGGGGTTCCAACCCCCGGAATCCCCTCCTGGATCCGCCACTGACAACTAATAAATAAATCGTGCTTTCCCAAACTTAAATACCAATTAGTACACATCCAACGCCCGATTTCATTGTAAAGTGGGCAAATTTATAAATAATTATTTACAATGTATCTACTGATCTATTTTGAATGTTTAAGGAAGTCAGCTAAAGGTTGTATCCACCATGTCAGTAGGCTTAGAGCATATTGATATACCAGAATGTCGTCGCCGTGGAATAGCTGTCGGGTATACCCCGGGGGTGCTGACAGAGACTACAGCAGAGTTAACACTTGCTTTGTTACTAGCTACTTCAAGGAGGATTAAAGAAGGTATGCATTTAATGTAATGAAATTGTTGTTTCCAGTTACAAACCCACATATGGTTGATGACCCCTTCTGTAGGCCTTTGTGTTACGAAATTTTCAAAAGTCCAATAATATCAAAACAGTAAAAATACAGAACAAAAGTGACGTGCCATTTTGTACATATACCAAAGGGAAGCGTTGTTCAAGCAATACTGTTAAATATTTCATTGCATTTAATGGAAAATCGGGATTTGGTGGCAAATAAAGCTAAGATATTTACAAAAAAAACCACAGACTTTATCACAGAGATTTTCGTTATAAAATTGTTAACATAGATTACTCACTTGTTTGTCCATGTTGTGCTAGCATTTATTGTTTACAAAAAGTCCTAAACAAAGTCGAGCGCACCCTAGGAGGGTGTACTTGAATAAGTCCATTTCATACGCCCGTTTTCGGGACGTATCATGGTATACCGTTGTCCGTCTGTCTGTCCGTCGTTAACATGTCGGACAATAACTCAAAAAATCTTTAACCAATTTTCATGAAATTTTGGTGAATTGTTTATATCTATTGACGTAAGCCCCCTTTTCGATTTCTATAAATTTTAGATTTTACGTTTCCAAGTTATGGGATTTTATTCATGAAAAGGGGGGATTTTCCAGTTTTCGGACAATAACTCAAAAATGCTTTGAGCAGTTTTCATGAAAGTTTGGCGACTGGTTTATATATATTAAAATAAGCTCCCATTAGTTATGGAACTTTATTCAAAAGCGACGGGCGTATCATGCGCTCATGGCGCAGCTCTTTATTATACTTGCTATAACCGATATCTTTATTTGTATACTTGTTTTAGGGAAATCATTGCTAGCACTGCACGCAATAATCCTCTATCTATTAAGCATCGAATTGTCAAATGTAGGAGTACAAGGGGAAAGGGTGGGGATTTTTATAAGATTTCCATAAGTTTAGCTTTGAAACAACAAAAAGGTATCTTATCCTTAATAGGAGCATTTAAGATATTAAACATAGATAAATGTTTTGTTTGTTGGACGAATAAGAACTTGACAGTATATGTTGAAATCTTTATGTAAACCTCTAGGTGTCTCTTTGTTTGTGTCAGTTGGTTGCTGTCACATTGACGTTTGTCCCAGATATATCCTTTTATTTTACACTATTACTATAATAGTAAGATCTGTATGATTGACAGATAAAGTACAAAATAATTACATATAGTTCTAATATCAATTTATAATATTTTAGTCATTAGTCACTTTCATTGAGAATTTACAACTGCACTTTAAGCAAGCAACACTCAATCAATCATTCAGAAATCTGCGAACAAAGTTTAAGATGTATTTTTCGTATCTTCAATGTATAAAGCATATTCTGTGCATCGGAAATACACATTCTTTTCACGAAGATAAGAAAACCAAATCTGTTAGGTTTGTTTAAAAGTTTATTTTACATTTGTTAATGCTTAAAATGTACATAAGATATACACTTACAATCGTATATACATGTAAATAACTTATGGGTTGGGAAATAAATCTTATTTCATCTTACTATGTCAATTCGTCTCTCCTAAGTCGTTTGTTTGTTTATTTGTTTGTTTGATAGTGTTAAAACGCAATTTTCTTCTAACTTAGATGTTTCGTGATGGTCAATTTGTGTTCTTGGAGGAAGCCGGAGAAAACCATCTCAAAGTTGACAGGCTAGTGATCACTGCAGCTAAACTTCTTTGACCAATCGGTATCTGTGGCCCCTCTTTTAAAGACCAATCGGCATCTGAGGCCCCTCTCTAAAAGACCAATCGGCATCTGAGGCCCATTTCTAAAAGACTAATTGGCATCTGAGGCCCCTCTCTAAAGGATTGAAATTTATATTGAAAACTATCGTTGCATGATGTCTGTCAAATTTCGTTCAGTTGAAAGTAACACCTTACCAATCTCCACACATTCAAATTTGTATGGCCAATGCTGAAGTTTATAGACATGAAGAATAGAACAATGGTAAATAAGACCGTAACCTAATAGAATTATTAAAAAATAATATCTGGAGGTCTTTATTATATGGCCATTAACAATTAGCACCTATCGGGAATTCTGAATCTAGTCGAGTACATTTTTAGTAGACGAATCCTATTTAAATTTCATTATTAGGAGATTAATCCTGGTCAGAATACATTATTAGAAAATCAATCCTATTCAAAATCCGTTATTACTAGATGATTCATATAAATCAAAATAATTATTAGAAGATGAATCCAAGTCAGAACAAATTATTAGACTAGATGAATACTAGCCCAAATTTGAAAAAATAAGCTTGTGAGGACAAGTTTCTTGTTTCTTTTTCTTTTTTAAACAAGAAGAAATGCGTGTTACGTGCAATCAATGCAAATTCATTTAGATTTCAAAAAGTAAGTCAAAATGAATTCCAGACTTGTTGATTGAAACACGATACCCGTATGTGCCTTGTGGGCAATTCAAAAAGTGTACTTGTAGCTAACAAAAACAAATTTTATGTATGTCTGAATGTGAAACTTTGCAAGGCGAGACATCATTTAATGTTTTTAAACATTAGTATTTTATATAATTTAGGGTTTAAAGCTGTAGAAAAAGGAATGGTGGGATGGCAAAATGGTCACTGGCTTTGTGGGAAACAGATAAATGGTTGTACAGTCGGGATCGTCGGTTTAGGCAGGATCGGTTTAGCTGTTGCTAAGAGACTACAGCCATTTGGTGTTGCTAAGTTTCTATATAGTGGCCATTCCGAAAAGCCTGGAGGAGCGGAGATTGGTGCTACATTTGTTTCCTTTGATGAGCTGCTTCGAAAATCAGACTTTGTGGTAGCATGTTGTTCAATGAACGAAGAAAACAAAGGTCTTTTCAACAAAGGTGCATTTTCAAAAATGAAATCGGATGCAATATTTATAAATTCCTCGCGTGGTGTACTTGTCAATCAAGAAGATCTCTATGATGCTTTGAAATCTGGTCAGATAATGGCCGCTGGCCTCGATGTGACTTCACCAGAACCACTTCCTGTTGATCATCCATTGAAAACTTTAGATAACTGTGTTATTTTTCCACATTTAGGTAGTGCAACGACTGATACCAGAAATGTCATGGCAGTCACTGCTGCTAAAAATGCTATTGCTGGATTCAAGGGACAAACTTTGCCTTCACCGATACCGCTGTAGTTCGAGTACAACAGGGAAACATCATTTTCATTACAAATTGCAATAGACATATTTTGCCTTTAACATCGTAGCAAATGGGATTATTTTTTTTGGGAAAATCAAGGAAAAAAGGGCATTATTCATCTTCAGTTGTCATGGTATTGAATAATTTCAATCAGTATTGTAAAAAGGGTGTCGATTTTTTTTGTAAAATGTATAGATCATAAACACACTGACAGATGTCTCATTTCAAGATTCCTCTAAAAACAGTTAATGATGTAAAACGTTTTAAAAAACAGGATATAATAATCCTGCCTTAAACTGAGGTGACACAGAACTTGCTATAATTTGTAACGCCTTTTTCGATAAGATTTTTTTCGGAGGGTGGCTTATGGTAAGATTGTAATATTGTAGATTGGATAAAAGCAAAGATTACAAAAGATGTAGGTGTTTCATTTTTATATGCAATTGTCTTGAAATTAATGTTAGAATATAATATAGGTGCTATATTCAGAATAAAAACAATAAGAAATCTTAATTGTTAATTGTGTACTGTCCAAGAACAAAAATAATAAGAAATCTTAAAATTGTACTGTCCAGATTTACAAAAGGCATGGTCATAAAAGAGAACAGATAACAGGAATAGAATTGAATGAGAAGAAGGGGTTATTAATTCAGTCACCACTCGTCTAACACGGTACTTGTCTCCCCATTTTTGTCTCTTGTCGACGAAGTAAAAAAAGCGAGACTTAGACGTGTTGTTTCCGGCGGTGGCGTCGGCGGCGTCAACAATGTATTAGTTTGTAATTTAGTCAGTTTATGGCAAACCACTAGTGGAGGTCAATGATATGTGGTATTCAGTTGTATTAGCATTGGAACATCTCGTGGAGAATATTTAGCCCTGGTCTATTGACTTTGAAACTTTTGCTTATTTTACACGTATTAGTTTGTTGTTAGGTCAGTTTAAGGGGAACCATTAGTGGTAGCTCAATGATATTTTATATGCAGATGTATGAGCATTAGCACATCTAATTTCCATGGAGAATATTTGGCCCTGGTCTATTGACTTTGGAACTTTTGCTTATTTTACACGTATTAGTTAGTGGTTAGGTCAGTTTAAGGGGAACCATTAGTGGTAGCTCAATGATATTTTATATGCAGATGTATGAGCATTAGCACATCTCATTTCCATGAGGTTTGTTTGGCCCCGCCCCCTCAGTCATGGTATATTGACCTTGAATGTTTTGCATAGTTTATACCCCCATCACATTAGTACGACCTCAGAAATTGTGAAAAATTTTGGAAGTCGTGGTTAGATCATGGTGGTCGTAGTAAGGACGTGCCAAGGTCTACATGATCGTGAAGGTCCACGACCAATTTGAACATGATCAAAAAATTCGTAGTGTAGTCGTGGCCAAAACTATTCGTAGTAGAAGCGTAGGAAGGTCGTAGTAAGGACGTAGAAGGATTGGGATTGGCGTTGACGCATCGTATTGGAAACTTGATGCAATCGGAATGCCAATGGAAAAGATTTCGATGCGACCTAACTACGATTTCACTGCGACTATCCCGATTTCACTACGTCTTTATTACGCTTCTACTACGAAATTGATACGATTATACTACGATGGGGAAGACAGTAGTACGCTGCTACTACGCGCTTATCGTCCTTAATACAACCTTACTACGATACTGCTACGTCCTAACCACGATAATTGCACGACCTCATTCTATTGATATAAAAAAAAACGGATGCAATAACTTCTACCTGTGTTTTTGATACCTTTGGCGGCATGTTTTCTCAAGGAAACTGGTGTGTACAATGGGAAAGCCAATGTATTTATAGGGGCGAAGAGCGCAGTGACAACATAGTGGAAACGTAGTGGAGTCGTGGTTAGATCGTAGTAGAATCGTATTGAGATCGTAATGCGATCGGGAAGGTCTTTGTAGAAGCATACAGAGATCGCGTAAGTCGTGATAAGATCAAATTATGCGTAGCAAGAGCGTAACAATATCGTAGCTAGAATATGTTACTATCGTAGCGGAATCGTAGCAGGATCTTATCAGGATCCTAGCAAAGTCGTGTTATGAATATGAAAACTATGAAATTTTTAATATATATTCAAGCCGACAATACCACGATCTCACCGCGATCTTTTTTTATATAGATCATAGTGGATTCTTCATGGTCTTAGTCTAGTGTGACGGGGGGGATTTACATGTTAAAGTTTGTGATAAGATCAGTTTAAGATGAACCATGTTCCATGGATGTTATATGGCTTTGCTCCTTCAGTCGTGATTCTCAGACTTTGAATGATTTCCATAGTTTACATGTTTAAATATTGCCATTTTAATTTCAACTTTTGCATTATACTATCAAAATTACAAAACGCCAGACATATCTCTGTGTCAACAGTTTATATATTTTTTGTGTATTTTATTTACACTTTATATATAATGTAACATGTTCTGCTTGCGAGAAATATATTTAAGGAACTATGTTTTATAATCAATGAAAGTCAATGGAACAGGTACATATTTGTTTAGCAAAATCAAATCCTAAAAAAACTTCGAATTTGATATGTTTCAAAGGAATGGTCTGCTTTGCTAGCATCGTGCTATTCGAACAAAATGTATGATGCCTATTTGCGTGATCACGACTCCTGTTTTCCTAATGCCTTTCTTCGGTAAGTTCGAGGCCAAAAGTTTCGTAGGTCTTTGGTGACGCGCATTCGCGAAGGAAGAGACTTTATAAGGAAGAGACTTTATACTAACCGAAGCTTTGCGATTCAAGCGAGATAACTCAAAAAGTTTTAAATTACGGTATGGGTTTTGCTTATTGAAGGCCGTACGGTTACCTATCATTGAAATGCTTAAATCCACACCATTTGGATGGATGGATGGATTGATGGTTCTTTAACGTCCATTGGTAAGTTGAATGTTATTCAGGACGAGAACATGTTAATCTGATATAAATATGAGCCCTGTTTTGTACTGGACCGACATGTTAGGCTGGATTTTTAACATGCTAGTTCATGGTAAAGGTAAAAGTTCAATGTAACAATCCAGTCTAAAGGAAGACACTTCACCTTACCCACAGGTACAATATAAAAATAAGGAGATGAAGTATGATTGCCAATGAGACAACTATCCACCAAAGTTGAAATAAAGTGGATGTAAGCAATTATAGACAACCACACGGCCTTCGACAATCAGAAAAAACCCATTCTCTAACTTTAGTTTGCCTCAACCAAATGTTATGAAACTTAAACACAACGCTTATAATCAAAAAACGGTTTTAACTACGTGAATCCTGCATCTGTATGTGGAAGATGACTCATGCATATTTACATGCGGGGGCATCTGTGGCCCATAGACACATTCTCCATTTATATAAATCTCGCCTCGTACCTGTCACCTTAATTGGACACATTTTACTGGGCCAACCAGTATTTGACTTTATTCCCTGATGCCGATTTCTTGGCGGAGAATGAGCAAATACCATTTTTTAAGTCTTTGGGTTGACCTGTCCAAGGACCGATTCCACGACCTCCGGGACTCGGCGTCGATCACACTACCACGAGACCACCAAGGCGGTCCATGTCATTTGGACTCTGGTAAATAGCTGTCACAATTGGCAATCATACCACTTCTCCTAATTTGTTATTAATGAGAATGAAAGTCATAACTTTTTTTTTTTTTGTACATATTTTTGTTTCTTATCATGATTTCCTTGATTAGTAGTTTTCTGGTAGCAGGAGAATTATTGAACTGTGGGGTTCTTACTGATAAAGTCATCTCTTCTATAAAGTTTTACGACACCGTGATGGTTTCGTTGACCGTTATGGAGTAACTGTGACCACGAATATGTTCACATTGTGCTACCAATATTCCATCCTCGTTTTATCGTTTGTGTCATCACCGAATACGACTAATCACCGGATTAGAACTTGTCACGAGCATACAAATGATTCCATGAACTTGTAGCTGGAACTGCTTACCAACCAGGGCAGCTGAGCTCATTCCGATTTTTAAGGGTTAGTGCTTGAAGGACTAATGTTTCTTAGTTTTTTCATCTTTTGTCTATGGTGTTGTTTGTTTTTCTTCAACTTGTGGGTTTTTTATTACCCCTTGCACAAACGGTTGGGTACAGGATGTCGACATGGTTTTATTTAGAATGGATAGTAAAATAAGGGACTGTGTCAGAGTTTATAATTTCGGTATTAAGCAGGTGAGACGAGCTCAGGAGGGTTTGGTATGAGGTGTAAAGCTAAAACATGTATATTTAGGGCGAACAATGATGAATACGATTTGAGATAGATTATTTGGAGGGCCTGATTATTCGGGTTACAATTAACTGTAAAGATAAAGATTATAAACATTGCTTTTCATCATATTGGCTATCTTTTACAATATAACAAGAGAAGCGACATAACTTATACTCTAACTAAGAATTGAACTTGTCAGACTTGCATATTATGCATTTGTAATCAGTGGTGGAATATGTTTTTATATCTCCCCTTTACTTTGGTGATTGCCTTATAAGCCCAAATACCTCTAATATTTTGCAAACTCTTATCTAATGATGAATATTTTAAAACAAATTAATCTAACAACAACATCAACAAATGGATATTTACAAAAATGACTTTCCACTTTGGGGGTAGGGAAACAGAAAACGAAAAATATTTAAGTAATTTCTTTCAGTCAAAGATCGAAAATTTGTAACAGGACCTTAGAAAAAGGAAAAGGGAGTTTTAAGGTATACCGGGTGTCTTTCGCCATCTGGGATTATAAAATACAATGTACCTAGAATAAAAAAAACGGTATAGATCTTTTATGAAATATGCAAATTTTGAAAGAGGAATGCAATTAATTTGAAAGACTTCTCGTCTAAATGAAGAAAAGTGTGTGTTTTTTTCTTGTTATAACGTTTTTATTTTTACAAAAACGGGATATTTTTGTTTGATTCAATTATTGTTCAACTCACTCAGCGCCAACTCGTTCGTTATGCCCGTGTGTGTAGTAATGTCATAGATTTTAACGAACGTTATCAATGCATCACCGGTAAATTATTAAAAGTCAGGGATTTCGTTACCATAAATTTCTTAAAACTTTTACTAAATTCTTTCATAGATACAAAAATTTGATTAGAAAATTTGGCTGTACCTGTAGAAAACTTATTAAAAACGGTATTTCACATCCTAAATTTTACGGTAATATTGTACCAGAGACATATATACGTCTCTGATTGTACTAAAAGCACGGAAATCACTATGTTATCCGTGTACACTCATCGAACCTACTCTTGTTTTTGACTTTTTGTCAGATATTCGGAATCCTCTAGTTTTATCCATGTAGTGCCAATAAAAATTTTGCCTGCTAACCACTACTTTTCTTTTTATAATTTTATAACTTATAGTTTTTAAAGGCCATTTTTGAAAATCTTATAAAATCCTTGTTATTTTTTCATAGTTTTTGAGAGAGAATAAAAGGCGATGATAAATGTATGAAAAGTCTAGAGAGAATCATTTCCCG